TCGAAGCCTCTTAGTGCGACTCGTTTACTCCACGTAGCATCAGTTGCATGCTGGATGGAGGGGACCTTGCCCTTCAACATCCAGCCCAGCACAGGCAGTCATACAGAACAACTGTCCCAGCTGAAACTAAGGCAAGAAGTAACCAAAACTTATTTTTTATCTTTTTATGTCTTTAGTTAAAACCTAAAAAACGGGAGCAGCAAAACCGTAAAACAAGTGATATTTTATCTTGTTTTTGTGAAAAAAAAACCAACAAACCAGTCTGGTTCGGTGGAAGCTGTTGCAATTCTTAGTGAGTTCTCAGGGTGTTTGTCAGAGATTTGTGATGAAATTTTACTCTTCCTGAGCTTCAGCCTTGAAATAGTTGTTCACAAATGCACCTACTGCCAAAAAGTGAGGACAGGAAGAAGTGTGGAGCGACACAATCGCTTCACACGTGGTTGTGAAGTGAGGGATATCTTTCTCTGGTAAGAGAGGTCTTCTAAAATTCTAGTGAAGAATCAAATTTTTGAGTTGGGTGTCCAACTGCAACACTATATTCTATATATATATATATATCTTATCTGAAAATGTATTGGTAATGTCCACTGGCAATGGAGTCACGGATACACCAAGCAATGGATTAATTTTCTGGCAGTCTTGCAGCCTATTCCCAAATTCCTTTATCAAGATGGAAACTAAGGCTGCATATTTCTCCCCCGTTCGCAGAGCTGTGTTTAGGCAACGTATCAATCAAAATGCCTGAATTTATTTGCCATACCTTGAGCTATCTGATCAACCTCTAGGAATACCTAAGGTGCAGGAGGCAAAGGGATGAGGCCAGACTCTTTTTAGCGGTGTGTGGCGATAGGACAAAGGGGGAAATGGCCACAAACCGAAGTTCTGCACATGTGTGTGTAAGAACTACTTCACTGGAACAGGGCTGCCCAGGGGAATCTCCTTCTTTGGAGACAGTCAAGACCTCCCTGGATTCGTACCTGTGCAACCTGGGCTCGGGAGCCTGCTTTGGTAGAGAGGTTGGACTGGATGATCTCTGAAGGTCCCTTTTGAATGCTACAGTTCTGTGATGCTCTATCAGATGACACTGCACTGTGCCCTGCTTTCAGCCCAGGCTATGCTGGTCACACACTGATGTTTGGTTGTTGCTGAGAGATAGATGCACGCCCAAGGCTGCTTGGTGGGAAGAGCTGCCCACCACGATGGTGCAGAGCAGGGATGACTCCAGTCCTCATTTTCCCCTGGTTATCTTAATCTGTCTTTATGAGTGAAACTACGTTGGTTGATCGTTAACTTTCACAGAATCACAGAATTGCCAGGGTTGGAAGGGACCCCAAGGATCATGAATCTCCAACCCCCTGCCACATGCAGGGCCACCAATCATCTCACCTAATGCTGGACCAGGCTGCCCAGGGTCCCATCCAACCTGGCCTTGAACACCTCCAGGGACGGGGCATCCACAACCTCCCTGGGCAGCTGTTCCAGCACCTCACCACTCTCTCTGTAAAGAATTTCCCCCTGATGTCCAACCTAAATCTCCCTTCCCTCAACTTCAAACCATTTCCCCTTGTCCTGCTGTCACTCACCCTTTCAAAGAGTTGATTCCCCTCCTGTCTGTAGGCTCCCTTTAGGTACTGAAAGGTACCTAAAGGGTACCTTTCAACTTTGTAGATGCACACCCAAGGCTGCTTGGTGGGAAGAGCTGCCCACCACGATGGTGCAGGGCAGGGATGACTCCAGTCCTCATTTTCCCCTGGTTATCTTAATCTGTCTTAATGAGTGAAACTACGTTGGTTGATCATTTGTGGGGCTCCATTCACTGCCCACCCTGGGAAAACTGCCAGTGACACTCCTCGAATCTCCAGACAGCTCCACACCTTCACCATGATTGCAGGTTCTTTAACTCCCCATCTGATGTCTCTCTGCCTGGACCCTCCTCTGATCCCCATCCACAAGGGTTCACCCAGCCTGTTGCCCAACCCACAGAGGACCTCCATACATCCAGGCAGCTCCTTCACACGGAGGGTTTCTTCTGAATATTCACCACCTGCCTCTCTTGGAGAGCCTGGATCCACGGTCTTAGCACTCCAGTCATTGCTGTCAGTGTCACGGAGCTGTGATGGCCCAAATGGATTCTGGTCCTCCTCTCCCTGTCCCAGGTAGAGGGCACAGGCATTCCTTTCATCTGCAGCATCTCAGGTGTGTCATCAGGGCCAAGCTCAATTTTGTCATGGGGAAATCTCAAACCGAGCCCTAAAACCCTGTATAAGACTTTATTTCAGAGCATAAATGTGCTGGACTGGATGGCAGACAGCAATGTAAGGAGGAAAGGAGAGATTCATAGGGAGAGCAAATCCGAGCATTGTCCAGGCCAGAACGAAAATGGATTGTGTTGTGTAATCCTGATAGGAACCACCTTTACAATCAGTGATTTCCAATCACTGAGAACCTGATAGGAACCAACTTTACAATCAGAGATTTCCAATCACTGAGAACCTGATAGGAATCAACTTTACAGTCAGTGGTCTATTTGCAATCACTGAGAACCTGATAGGAACCAACTTTACAATCAGTGGTCTATTTCCAATCACTGAGAACCAGTGGAGGTGATGCTGATCTCCAGAAGAGGGAAGAGGCTGCCGGAAAGATCCTTGGCTGTGAACATTCTGTAACCCAGGAACCTTGAAGACTGTTGTTCTGTTGACAACTGCATAATCAAGGGGGTGAGGTGGAGGGAAGAACCAGCAGCATTTGAGAACTTTGGCACATGAGAGGCATGCTTGGCACCCAGCAGCGCCCCTTTCCTTCAAATCTAAGAGTGATCAAAATCCCTGAGCATTGGCTGGGTGAGAAGAGGACGAGTAAAGGATGGGATAAGAAGCAGCAGCAGCATTGCAGAGCACGAGGACACAAGCAGAAACCCTGGTGCCATGTCTCGTACCAGCTGTGAACGGGCAGAGCCTTGGCTGGCTGCACTGCACCTCTTACTTCAGCACTAAGGTAGAGATGATCCCCGTTCGTCCCTGTCTGGGTGTCCTGTCTATAAACACTGGGCATGAAAAGGTGATTCTTATGCCCAGCAGTTTTTCCCGGAGGAGAAATAATACTTCTAGAAGAAATGCTTGCTCAGCCAAAGGAGGAAACACCGGGGATTGGTTCAGCCTGTCTCACACCAGGCGCATCTCCAGGGAGCCTGGTGGGGCTCAGAGAAAGGGAGGCCTTGGGCTGAGCCTCTGCTGCCGAGATGGGTTGGGCTCCTGGGATGCAAGGAGCTCATACAACTGGGCAGCACTGCAGGGAGACAGATCTGCCCAGGAACAGCTCCTCTGCACCGCACCGTACGACCTGCATCCGGCATGGGGAGAGGGGAGAAGGGAGAGATGCTAAAAGCCGCATGGACTGTGAGCGCGCCGAGAGCTCGCAGACCGTAACGTGGTAAGCCTCTGGCTGCTGAGCAGTGCTGCTGCTGAGCAGTGCTGCTGCAGTTCCCCTAAACCTGGCATAGCCCAAAGCTTACGAGATCTTTCGGGAGGACTCCAAGTCCAGAGGCACTTAGAAAAACGTTGCAGGGCTGTGAAAGCAAGGTGCAGCTGGGTGCTCAGGCTGTCCAGCAGAGTCCCTGCGCCCCAGGGCTGTGTGCTGGGGCAGGGACTCTGCTGCCTGCCAGGCTGCAGGGAGACGTGTGGGGGGAAGGAGCCCCCCGGCAGGGCAGGGACCTTCTGTTACAGAGCTGCTGCCTGGGGCAGGGGGCTGAAAGCTACGCAGCACCCCAGGACACTGCCAGTGGACTTTGAATGGAGACGAGGCAGTGGGTAGGTGTCTCAAGGCGAGCTTTTCTCAGTCTCCGTTTTCAGTTTTGTCTTCTTTGGCTCAGTGGGAATGCAAATAGAGCCTGTGCTGTTAGAGAAGAGGCAGAGACCCCTAAATCAGCACTAGGACCCGCCACAAGATCCTTTGTTGTTCCTCAGCCTGTAGAAAGCACTAGCATTGCTCGTGCAGTGTCGCTAGCATTTGTCTGACCTTTGCTGGAGCAACCCTCAGTTCTGCCCTCCTTCCCCAGGATAGAACTCTACTGATAGTTTCATGGGAAGTGACAAGTTGCCTTTGAATTCTCTGAGGTGGGGGGTGAAGATTCAGATGTAGCTCAGACACCAATGCTATGGGTTCTGTTTCGCAGATGCGTCTTGGAGGTGTTCAAGGAACGTTGGGATGTGGTTTAGCAAGAACCATTGGTGATGGGTGAATGGTTGGACTGGATGATCCCGTGGGTCTTTCCCAACCTTAGTGATTCTATGATTCTATGATACGTGGAGGAAAAGCATCCATGCTCCTCCTAATTTCTGGGTTCTAGGAAATGATGTATGCGGCCTCAAAGTGGGAATTCCATTCAGGACAGCTCATCCTTGGTTCACGTTTGACTTTGCCCCTGTGGTTCCTCCTGGACTGCTCTGGGACGCAGCTCTGCAATAACAGCTCCGTGGAGAGAACACCTCAGTGCTAAAGCCACGTAAATGTTGCAGGATGCCTGTATGCAGGCAGCCACAAAGAGCCCACTGTGTGCTCTTTGAAAGAGAAAGGGTAGGATGAAAGAGAAAGGGTAGGATGCACAGAGAAAGGGTAGGATGAGATAGGTAAGGGGCTTTGGAGGTCATGCACTTTGAACCTGAATTCCTCTGGTCTCAGCAGCATCTTGAGTCTTCAGGGGAGCTCCTCAGGGCAGCCATCACAGGACCCTGCTTGACAGCTTTATAAAATTGGAGCAATACTTCTGTAAATACGCCTTGATCCTGCAGGTTTATTTGATTTGAGATCAGCTCATAAGCTATTTTTTTCTGTTGTTACAGGGCCAGACTGACTCCCCTAGAGTCCACAGCAGAGTCTCCTATTCCCAGTGACATCCCCAGCCACCACCACACAGAACTCAAGCAAGGGGATCTTGCAAAGGTCTTCCTGAAATGCGAGTAGCAGGCTGGGGGGTTGTTACAAGGCACGGAGTTGACTTTGCACGGAGAGGTGACACCAACATCTTGTTGTCTCTCCCTCCTTTAATAGGTCCACATATTTAGAGACAGCAGATGCCCAACAGCAGCTCCATCAGCGAGTTCCTCCTGCTGGCATTTGCAGACAGGTGGGAACTTCGGCTCCTGCACTTCTGGCTCTTGCTGGGCATCTACCTGGCTGCCCTCCTGGGCAATGGCCTCATCATCACAGCCGTAGCCTGCGACCCCCGCCTGCACACCCCCATGTACTTCTTCCTCCTCAACCTCGCCCTCCTTGATCTAGGCAGCATCTCCACCACTGTCCCCAAATCCATGGCCAATTCCCTTTTGGACAGCAGGTCTATTTCCTACTCAGGATGCGTTGCCCAGGTCTTTTTCTTTGTCTTCTTGGCTGGAGCAGAGTTTTCTCTTCTCACCGTCATGTCCTACGACCGCTACGTTGCCATCTGCAAACCCCTGCACTACGGGACCCTGCTGAGCAGCAGAGCTTGTGCCACCACGGCAGCAGCTGCCTGGGGCTGCGGGTTGCTCAGTGCCGTACTGCACGCTGCCAATACATTCTCACTGCCTCTCTGCCAGAGCAACGCTGTGAACCAGTTCTTCTGTGAAATCCCTCAGATCCTCAAGCTCTCCTGCTCACACTCCATCCTCAGGGAAATATGGGCGACCGCGGCTGTCGTCTCTTTGGCATCCGTGTTTTTTGTTTTCATTCTTTTCTCCTACGTGCAGATCTTCAGGGCTGTGCTGAGGATGCCCTCTGAGCAGGGACGGCACAAAGCCTTTTCCACGTGCCTCCCTCACCTGGCCGTGCTCTCCCTGTTTCTCAGCACTGCCTTTTTTGCCTATTTGAAGCCCCCCTCCATCTCCTCCCCGGTCTCAGATCTGGTGGTGGCCGTTCTCTACTCCGTGCTGCCTCCAACGCTGAACCCCCTCATCTACAGCATGAGGAACACGGAGCTCAAGGTTGCTGTTAGAAAAGTTATTTCACAGAT